CATGTCACATTCGATGACATGGAATTTAGTATCTTGTATGGTCCCGGCTACGTTTTCTGGCAAGATAATTTCTCCCTTTGTTGTTTCCCTTGCCATGTTGAAGCCATTTAAGACCCGGGACGCAGGTACAATCTGATCCTGTAGGCCGAGCTGCTCTACGACCCTCGATCTGATTATGTTTGCTGAGCTACCTGGATCCACGAGAACACGTTTAACCTTAATTTTATTTAAAAGGATAGAGATTACCAGGGCGTCGTTGTGTGGCTGAGATATGCCCTCTGCTTCCTCGTCGTAGAATGATAAGGCGTCTTCGGGCACATAGCTCCGAGTATGTTTTTCTCTTGTGATCGACACCTTGGTGCGTTTGAACACTGGTCCTTGCGGGACATCGACACCGCCAACGATCATGTGGATTACATGTTGTGGTTCTTCTTGTTCATTTTTTCTTGCATCTCTCTCCCTAAAGTGATTCTTGGCTCGATCGCTTAGAAATCTCGAAGATGGACCTCGTTGAACAATCGAGCCACGTCTTCCCTTAGCTGCCTGCAATCTTCTGTTCTATGACCATGTGTGTCATGATACTTGCACATCAAGTTCGGGTTCCTTTGAGAGGATCAGTTTGGATTGGCCTGGGCCACCTGGTATCTTTGATTCTTCCAATAGCTGACACGATCCCTGATGCGTCTACACTAAAATTATACTCTGACAATCGAGGTGCTTTTGCGGGGTCGGTATGCTTATCGAACCCGCTCTTACTCATGAGTCCTCGAGAACTTTGACCTTGATCGTTTCTCCGATCATTCCGAGGAGCGTTACGGCCTGAACCATTGTTTCTACGATCAACATACGGCTGATACTGTTCTTTGGTTGACCTCGATTCCCTGTCTGTATCCCTCGGGGGTCTGGTTGCTCTGTTAGGATGAACTGAACCCGAGGTGGCTCCCAACTGGTCATCCTCGACCCTGATTTTTGATTGATAACGGTTGTGCACATCTGACCAAGTCACAGCCGGATACTCGATTAGGTTCTGCTTTAACTGTCGAGACGCAATCGAGCTCCTTTCATTCAAACCCTGCATAAAAGCTTGTACTGCCCAGTCATCTGAGACCTGTGGTAACTCCATTCGCTCCATCTGGAACTTAGACACGAACTTCCTCAACATCTCGTCGTTCCGTTGTTTTATCTTGAAGACATTCGATTTTCTCGTGGCCACCTTTATGACCCCGGCGTGCGCTTTCACGAAGGCATCTGCTAACATAGCAAATGAATCAATAGATTTAGGAGGTAAGTTGTGATACCAAATCATAGCTCCTTTCGACAATATTTCTCCAAACTTTTTCAACAAGACTGATTCAATTTCGGCGTCATTCAAATCATTTCCTTTAATCCCGCAAGTGTATGAAGTAATATGCTCGTTAGGGTCGGTTGTCCCGTTATATTTGGGTATATTGGGCATGCGAAACTTCTTAGGAATAGTCATCGGAGCCGCGCTCTGAGGGAATGGTTTTTGTATGAACGTTTTGGCATCTAATCCCTTCAAAACTGGAGGTGCCCCCGGTATTTGGTCAACACGAGAGTTATAAGTTTCCACCTTTTTGTCATTGTCTTCAATCTTCTTTTCTCCGGACTCAATCCTCTTGGTGAGCTCTTAGAGCATCCTCATAATGGTGGGGTCAGTCCTCGAGTCATTTCCATTTGACCTCTCTTGCGCTGGCTCGACACGTCGATTGTTTTCATGTTCAGCTACACTCGGAGTCTTATTTTGACTTTGAAGTTGAGCAATGGCGATCTGTTGAGCTTGTAGCATCTCGAATATCACTTGGAGGCTGATTCCCCCATCACCGACTCCTTGTGTTCCTTGGGCACCAGGTCGGGCTACCCTGCATACACTCCCTCCGGGGTCTGTGCCTAAATCCGCGTTTAGAGAAATGTGTGAACTAACATCAACTGGTTCCATGTTTGGCACTTCCCCAGGGTTTATTGGTGGTACACCGACCCCTATATTGTTGTTTTCACCAAGACCTTCATTGTCATGAACAGGTGCATTTTGTGAGCTAGACATGTTTCAGCCTGAGAATCAAAATTTCTTGACAAGAAAAAGTGTAAAAATAACGTGTGTAATGAGAATCAGTAAAGAAACAATCACTATTATCTTTAGCCCCACGGTGGGCGCCAAACTGTTTACCTCGAAAATACAAGTAACAATTAAATTTGATTTGTGGTTTTAAAGATACGTGATTAAATTCAATACCAATTAATATTCAAGAAATATGAGTTAGAAATGAAGGAAATAAGTGAATCAAACCAATATTACTCAGCAGTGGTGACCTCGAGCTTAGTGACCTCGAGTTGGATTAAGAGCAATAAAGCAAGAACAATAAATGTAAAGGACAATTCTAATGAATAGTAAGAGAGAAAAGTAGGATAGTATATTCTTGCCAATGATGAGATGATCTTACAAATGATTGGGGTTCCCTTTATATAATAGGGGAGCCCTAAATAAGGTATATTTCTATTTACAGTAAGGAATATTCTTGGTACAGCTGTCTAACCGCCTAGTACGGAATAGTACAATCCTATTCCGGGATTTGCGCCATGATCTTGGGGACGTGGCAGGAATCTAGCCCATTCTGTTACAAGTTCATAACGGTACTATTTCAGGGTCGAGCATACTCGGCCTCGGTATGCATCGTGCTCTGTCTTCGAACTCGGGTCTGGTCCCTCGAGCTCGAACTCGATCTTCCCTGAACTCGGGCTTTGGACGACCTCTCGAGCCTATAGATCGGAGGCATACGATCTCAACCGTATACAACAATACAACCAATTTTAATGAAACAATCAGAATAAACATTGTTTTGGGACAATGATACAATACGATACAGTGGAAAACAACCATCCAAACAAACTGTTAGGTAATATCAGTGATTGTGTTTGGGGTGAATGGTGACCCGCGTTAATGGAGGTTCCTGCTGCGTCAGTGGATGGTGATCGTCGGTTTAAGTAACTATGACGACTTCTAATTCTCATATTGTATATCAATGTATCTCTAGTATATATATCAATGTAAATTCACAAGAAATTATGTGTTATACACTGAGATATATAAAGGAAAAAATAAATTTTTTATATATATTTTGATATACAAAGAAGAAACTAAAATTTTAATATACATTTTGATATACACAAAGAAGGAAAATAAACTTGTGATGTATATTCTGGTATACACATTATTTGATGTGTTATACGCTATGATATACAAATAATATAATTATTTTTATTGTGATATACATTGATACAAAGACAACAATAAGTTTCAAATAACTATATTTATAATTTCATATTTTGGATATACAAAGAAGGAAAATAAGATTTTAATATATATTTCAATATACACAAATAAGAAAACAAATTTGTAATATACATTTTGATATACATACTATTTTTGTTATACATGTATTGGCTACCTGGTGCCAATATCTATAACTAAGTTTTTTATGTTAATTATGTGGGTAAGTTATCACACCATGCCAAAATCCCTTTGGGATCTTTACATAAATAGCTGGCCATATTATTTGTTTACTTTTTTTAGCCATATACATAGATTATACATTGATTATACACATGTAATACATAAATTATGCATATATTATACATTCACCGGTGCTTTTTTGGCTATTATTTTGAGAGTAGCTATACAATGTCATTTTCCCTTTTTAGTTTAAGTGTTAGGGTGGGCGGCTATTTTGGGAGAGACTCAAAAATAGCCAGATTTACAAGTGGTAATTGAAAAATAGCCACGGTTTCAAAAATAATCGAAATTTAGCCACTTTTCATGTATAGATAAATCTGAACGAAAACACTGTTTAAAATCCGAAAAATATTACAGTATAATATACTGGACTTCAAGCATAATATACCGGTCTAGCATAATATGCTGGAAGTTCATACACAGGTGCTCCAATCTCCAGTATATTATGCTGAAACTTTCCGTGTGTTGGAGTTCCAGCATAATATGTTGGAAGTTCATACACAGGTGCACCAATCTCCAGTATATTATGCTGGAACTTTCCGTGTTTCAAAACAATAGTGGCTATTTTTAATGACTTTGCAAATATTGTCTATCTTTCAATTACCAATCCGAAAACTGGCTAGCCCGTGCTATTTTAACGGCTATTTGGGCTAATTCTTCAATCCGTTTCTCTTGAATAATAGGTAGAAAGTCAAAAATAGCCAGATTTACAAGTGGTCATTCAAAAATAGTCACATTTTCAAAAGTAATCGAAATTTAGCCACTTTTCATGTAAAGATAAATCTCAACGAAAACACTGTTCAAATCCGGAAAAATACTCCAGTATAATATACTGGAACTTTCCACGTGTTGGAGTTCCAGCATAATATGCTGGAAGTTCATACACAGGTGCACCGATCTCCAGTATATTATGTTGGAACTTTCCGTGTTGCAGCAGAATAGTGGCTATATTTTAATGACTTTGCAAACGCTGACTATTTTTGAATGACCAGTCCGAAAACTGGCTAGCCCCTACTTTAACTGAATAACAAGACCAAAAATATCAAAAGCCCAACATGTTTTACAAAAGGGCGCTTTATTTAGGGGGATAAATTCAAAATAGCCAGATTTACAAATGGTCATTCAAAAATAGCCACAATTTCAAAAGTCATCGAAATTTTGCCACTTTTCATGTAAAGATAAATCTGAACGAAAACACTGTTCAAAATCCGTAACATACTCCAGCATAATATACTGGAATTCCAGTATAATATACTGGAGCCAGCAAAATATAACGGTCCAACATAATATGCTGGAAGTTCATGCACAGATGCACCGAACTCCAGTATATTATGCTGGATCGATCTCTATTGCAGCAAAATAGTGGCTATTTTTCAATGACTTGGCAAACGTTGGCTATTTTTGAATAACCAGTCCGAAAACTAGCTAGCCCGTGCTATTTTAACTTATTTGGGTCTAGCTTTTACTACTTTTAGCCCAAATTTCAGTCAAACTTTCCTCGTCGAAAATCCCATATGGGCTTCCGGGTCCTCAACCAGCTCCGATTCCGATCACTGCCTTCACTTCCATAGAAGATTGACATCATCAAATTTGGAAAGAGAAATCCACTGAATCCAATGGCTTCCATAAGTAAGAGTAACACACAAGAAGAAGTTTCTCCTTCTTCATCAGTGAATTGGACGGAACGGATTCTTCTTCCTACTCTGTTAGCTGGTATTTTTTGCTCTCCCTAAACCCTAATTTTCATTCTATTTACATTTTTTTTCGACTGTGTAGCTCCTTTATTTGAAGTTTTTACCTACTTTTTCTTTTCCAAATTTTTTAGCTTTTATATAGTACCCTCTGTCCCAATTTATGCGGCAGTATTTGACCGGTTGTTAACTAATGTTTTGTTAAATATGGAAATGTATCGTTTACATAAATTGGGACAGAGGAAGTATTAAATTAAATGGTCTGAATAGAGGGGGATGCATAAAAAGGATTTGTATAGTCGATTTTACTTGTTTAGCATTGAGGCGTAGTTGATCGAATTGATTGATTGAGATGAGTGTTTGTCTAACTTTTTTCTTTTGTTTTGTTTTTCTTCCGTTTGAACTTAGGTGCGGCCGGTGGAGGAGCTGGTTTGATATCAAAGCATCGGAGGGTTCACGGCTTAGCGAACATTTGTACAACTTATGCGACTAATTTTGCTATTGTTACTGCATGTTACTGCGGTAATCTCACTTTTTTACTTGTTTTAAAATGTTTATAATCCCTCCTTATCAACTTTATACTTAAAATGTCTATATCCCTTGATCATGTAATGTAGATTCACATTGAGTCGAATTTGATCTCGAAAATGGTGACTGAATTTGGCGAATTGTGGCATTTTGTTCTCAAATAATTGAAGATTCCACCAACTAGGGTTCAATTATTTGTATTATTATCACTTTTTTTTGGTTGATAAGTCTAGCTTGTTCTATTATTACAAAGTAGTATTGGAATTAAATCATGCCGTGGAAACAACCTCATCCAAAAATGCAAGGTAATGTTGTGTACAATAGAGAAAATGTGGTCCGACTCTTCCCCGGACCCCGCTCATTGAGAATATTACACCGGACTGCCCTTTTTCTTAATATTATAATTAAATTAATAGACTGGGTTAAAGACTTAGTTGTTGTATTATTGCACTTCTATTAGGTCTTGTGTCTGTTAGGAGTCCATTAATTTTGGTTAGATTTGAATGACCGTGCAAAGATTTACCGATTTCGAGAAGAGAGAACCCCTTGTTTGTATTAAAAGATGAACTAGTTAGCATTGGAATGGATGTACTTGAATGGAGCAGAATGGATACGGAGGATTCAAGCCAACTCCAACTAAGTTTGGAATTGAAGTTACTTGATTGATTGTATAATTATGGGATTGAAGTTATTTAATTGATTGATTGATTTTACAATTATGGTATTGAAGTAGCTCGATTGATTGATCGATTGATTTTACAATTAAATATCGCTCCGTGCCGTTTATAATTTGGAAAGGTTGATAAGTTGGTTTTCTGTTCAGATTTCTGCTTCATCTGTTTGCATCTTTCAGATTCCATGTGTAATTTTGACAATCTTTTGTTTCATCTTATCTGCATTTCTGCACATAGTTAATGCTGGAACACTGCTTTTGTCGTGATGTTGATGACAGCTTTATCAAAAAATTTAGTGGTCATCTAGTCTAGCAGTTCATGTCATGAATAAACTCTTCTTTTTGCAAACCATTCTTCTTTAAAATGTGAATAACAGCTTTATCCCACACTGTTATCAAAGGCTCATTTAAGGCACGCATAAGCCCTGAAGCTTAGAAAAGCTCAAGGAGGACGCTTTGCCTCGCTTAAGTTGCTCTTCAGGTTAGGCAAGGCACTAAGGCGTGTGCCTCAATGCCCATGAGTTCTATCTTGAACTGGGCGGTAGTAAACAACAAATATTATCAGCAAATAAGTGTATTAGTTGCTGAGGGAAACATTTGGAGTGAATTTGTTTCTTTTTTCTTGAACTACATATGTATTTTAATTTTTTTCCCCTTAGTTGCGCCTTTTTTAATAAAGCCCGCACTTTACTTGCGCTTAAAGCCCAAATCAACTTGGATCGCATTTTAGAGCTTTTCGCTTTTGACAACACTGATCCCACAACAAGTTGATCCCTATCATTTATGCTTTTAGCTTTCTTCTTTGCAAGATGGACTGACCCTGTAACAATGTCGAAACACCTGGCTCTGAACTTGGGACATTGATTGCACTTAAGATTTATCTGTTACTTACAAGTCTATGAGTCAATGGCAGTAAAAAGAGTGAAGATAGACCTATTACAAGTTTGCTGCTGCTTCTCTCCATTATCACTGAAGACTGAGGTTAATATATGCTTCTTTGTATTTGCTCGGCAGGTGCACGTGAGTTTGTAAGAGTAAGTAGAACAGGAAAGCCTGATGATCTGTGGAACTCAGCAATTGGAGGCTTTGGTAGTGGTGCTGTACTTGGACGCCTGCAAGGTTAAATTTGCGATTCTCTCTCCTCCTCAATCTGTTTGTGTGTGCTTGCCAACGCGTCAAAAGCTCCAGTAGGGACAGGATAATTTAAACATTAGCTGATCATGTGGTCTTACTTTAAATGACATCATGTGTTTAGTTATTTAAAAAAGAAAATAATGTTATGTTTATAATTGATCATGGTACAAATAGTTTCACTGAGCTAGCCTCTTCTCTGATTTTCCATGGTCATGCTTGCTGCTTGTTGAAGTCACATTATGGCAGCCAGATTTGTTAAATACTGCCCTTATTTTTCATCTTTAACCGGCAAAAAGTCTTTAACGTCCCCATTTGCGAGGAGATACAAAAATCGAGGAGACTGTTGACAATAGGTTCATAGAAAAACATCAATAGGCTCGTCCCCATTTTGCATTCCTTGCAAAATGATTGTATGGAGAGTCGTAGGATGTCGGATGCTGAACATGTTTTGTTAGATTCAGCTTAAAAATTGAGCTAATTATGCTTCTTTTCCCCCTTACTATTCAGTTTGTGTTCCAATGAGTTGTCATAGTTTAGTGAACAACAGTTACTATATGCACTTAGTACTTTATCATACTGGTTATACAACAAAAATAACTTCCCTCAATCCCAAATTAGTTGGGGTCGACACTAACATTTTTGTGATATTAGCTATGGGTTTGATACTTATCGAAAAGGTCTTGTATGGGTTTGATACCTTTTATCAGTTCAATGCGAAGTTTATATGCTCATGAGTCATGATGTAGAAGCTTGTCGAAACAATCTCATTCTCATAACTACTGAAGTAGTTAGTAGTTTGCCCAAACTTAAGATTTCCATATTGGACAATTATTTTGTGCAAAGCATCCTCAAGCTTGAAGCTTGCACTGCGCAATCTGGGAAATGCTGTGTTGTCCATCAGTTTGGATGCAGTTTTGAGTGGAAATTTTTCATGAAGCATTTCATCTATGCTTTTCAAATCTGAGATTTCCTATGTGCTTGTCTCTTAAATGTACTATTGATTGTGCTCGATATTTAAGAACCTGATAAATGGTTTGCCTGTTCTGTTGGATTATATATATCAGGAGGTCAACTTGGTGCTGTGCGTTATTCTGTCATGTTTGCAGTTGTGGGAACAACAGTTGATTATGCTACTACTAGAGTAAAACCAGCCTTGAGAAGCTACTACGACTCTATAGTCAATAAGAGAGATGATTGGTTAAAACTTCCCGAGTGGTCGCCAATCAAAGTGCTTGATGAGGAGGCTCTTGCTGCAAAGCGTGCTCGGGAGGAGGAGTTATACAGAAGTATCCACAATCTGAAGAAGGAATCATAAGGTGGGAAACAAAAGCATATAAGCATTATACGTCCATTTCGAGGCTCTTTATCCTTGAGACAAGATCTTTTTTTGTTTGAGTGCAGCGTCTTTGAGTGGTTACTATGACAGATCGTAGAAACAGAAATTGCAAAGCATATGATGGGTGTGCTACATTTTTGTGAGTTTCCATTGCAAGTAGAATTGCGCTGAAGAAAAACGCGTATTCTGAATAAATATTGTACTTTATTAGCTGGGAAATGGCAATAATTTTGCACTTGAAACCTTAAATTTACCAAAGTACAAGTGGTAATGTTGCTTGCTTCTAGTTATCAAGTTCTGCCATTTTTTTCAATTTAACAATTTCTTTTGTATAGTGCAGAAGGATATTAGTGATACCAATTAGTTGAACTAAGTTCTTGTTATGTTAGTATGTTGCTTTAGGTCCAATGTTTCTAGGTGTCTTTTAATATTGTGAGAGATTTACATGTTAGTTGAAAATATAGAGAACTTTTAATCCTTTTTATTTTTATTTCTAAATTTATTTTATACAACATTAGATTAAATGAAATGAGATGAATATTGAGGATTCATATGGTTCTAACTTGTTTGGAATTGAGAAATAATTGTAATGCAAAATATTTGGATATCTTCATTGCAATTGTAAGTTACATGCCATAGCATGATTGATGGAAATTGATAAAAATATTAAGTACTATTTAATATTTCATTGAAAATGAACAACTTAACCAAGTGCCAACAGATAAAAGGTTGCGTTTTCATTTTATTTATTTGGCTCTAGTGGCGTTGGTAATCGGTACTTCTTTTAATTTATGTATATAATAGAGGACTACAAAGTAACTGAGGAAATTTGGAAAATATTCATTCTGAAAAAAATTAGATTAAAAATTAGATTAAAATATTAGCACATGGATTTGAAGTTTTAAACACATGAACTCCTCCTCACTTTGTACCACCTGTTTTAAGGGTGTTCAAAATATAATATATGATCATATAAAGTGATAACCACTGCTTGGATTCACTCTTTATCAGGTCAAGCTTGAAGTTATAGAAAAATACAAAGAAACATGTATTACCAAAAGCACAGTTGAGTATGAATCAAGGAAGAAGCAGCTGTCAAACTCTCATTTGTTAGCATCCAACTTTTTGTGGCTATAATGAATTTGGTTGCCAAGATTCTAACTCAAGACAAAGATAGTCAAATTTATGATCCAAAGTCAGTAGGTTTAAAATGAGCATGAGCATGAGCATGAGCATGAATATGATCTTATTATATGTATGCATTTTAAGTTTCTTTCCGCATATATATACATAGTTCGAGCCAAAAGGAACTCGCGTCTATTTGAACCACAAAATTCGTCCTAGATCCGCCTATGAGTTTGTGAAGGCTGCCCAGGTGTTTACATTAGTAGACTGAAGGAAAGAACTTCAAAATCACACAAAAAGGCAAATTAGCACAATGTTATAGTAGTGTTAGTTTGTCTTTTTGGCCCTATAAAAGAAAAATGTACCTGAGTTTCAGGAAGAGTTGGTTTTAGTTGGTCCATTGACAGTAACTTGAAGTAGCAGAGTATACCCTCACTATTGATAAGATCTATATGCCACAAACAGAAATTCAGACACTTTCTTTCGAGGTAAATTACACTGATAGAGTAAAAAGATTTTTACAATGTCAGTGCATATGAGTTAAATTAAATAACTAATTACACCATCTTTTAAAGGCACAGACAGGAAAGAGTATGTAGTTGATTGTGACAATCAAACTTAACTGAATAAAAGTATCTTCAATCATACTTCCCTTCCACTCTCCAAATACACTTCCTTCACAGGTCGTATAAACGATGGAAAACTCCTGTCAAAGAAGGCGGTTAGCCATATTATAATAGCCATGAAATGCTCTTATCTGCAAAGGTTGCAAAACTTAAAGAGGTGGTTTGGCTGGAGGGACAAAGGAAAATAGTCCCAGCATAAAAATAATACAATGTTTGGTTGGTGGAATTAGAAAAAATAAGTTCATGCATAACTAATGCAGTCTCTGGTTGACCGTATGAGTAAAGTTATTTCCGCATAACTAATACTACAGCGTTTGGTTAGCGATATTAAATCGTACATGCATGTTATGCAGAAATCAATATAATATGTTATGCGAGATAAAATATGGAATAAGAATACGTGTACTAGTAACATAGGGATTAAAAATACTTAAAGACCAAGATGTCATCATTCACTGCATAACAATCCTACATTATAATTCTCTCATAACTCACACGTGAACCAAATCACCGCTTAGCACTTTCCTTGTGTAAGGAGAAGATTACAACACAAGCACACAAAAGCGATCCTACTCCATTTATTCATCCCC